CAGTGTAGGGCTGCACAATTAATCGAATTTCTACTCGCGATTACAATTACGGATGCCACAATTACATAATCGTTCAAAGCAGCAATTAATCGTTCAAAGTCCACTTATGTTTAAGTTCAAGTTCAAGTTCAATTTTATTAGTCACATACACAATCATACAAAGTACGCTATTCTGCATGCTTAAGATGCTTTTTTCTTTCTACATGTTATCTTAAGGGGATTTCCATTGTTTTAATTTTAGTATAACATTATAATACCATGCATATTTTTACCTTTTTATTTAAAGAAGAAACCAATCCAATATATAGTTGACATTTGAGGCTTAATACAATAGAAAAGCAATAAAAGTTTTTCAGTTAGTGTTTTCAGCTTGTTTATTTTCATATAAAAATATGGCATGCAGTTGCTTCAAGCAATGGTATAAAGCTACTCAAAACATCAATTTGTGATAATCGTAATTAATAATCGCAATTACAATTTCAAAGAAATAATCGCCACTTAGATTTTTGTCATAATTGAATTGAACTCAATAGCATGTGGCTCTCTTTTGCTCAATACTAGCCTACAACAAAATGGGTTTTCGCTCATTTTAAATTCTATGAGTGTAAATACGTTCAGGCTAAAAATAGACTGTATTTTGTCATTTGAACAGAAAAATAATGTACAAATGCTATAAAAACCCTATTAATTTATTAACTGAACAGTTAACTAAATAACAAACTTAAGATATAAACTTAAGTTATTTTCATATACAATAAAAAAAATATTGAATAAAAACAATACATGTAATTTCACTGTAGAACTGCAAAAATGTTTTCTAGAAGTATAAAATTGTAAGGACAATTATATTAAATTCAAGAAGGCAATTTTACAGTAAAATATTACTGAAATTGTGATTTTAATTATATTTATTTGTCTTTTATTTTATGAGGGAGAAGAATTGACAGAATTCCCTCCATGATCAATCAAATTGATTTAGATTTCATTAAACTAATTTGTTTCTTCTTATTTTTGTTATGTGTATTGAGATGTTCTAAGTATAGTATTTTTTTGTTATTTAGTTAATGTTTACTGCAGTACATCAGTGTCATGTGAGTTACCCTGATGGTGTTTTGTGTGTTGTGTGGGCAACACTTTGCTCTGTCTTCAAGTTATTATTATTAGTCACTGTTGCTGAAGAGGCCAATGTTGCTGAACTTTAAGTCATCGTGTGGCTTTCCATTGTACCATTTGTATCATATCATATCACACGTTAAAACAAACAGATTATACCTCAGATAGGTTATTATAACACATTAAATAATTAAATGACACATATTTAGGAACTGTGAAATCTGGTCACCAAAATGCCATCCTGTAATACTTGTAATATCTTCAGTGTATTTTTTTGGTAAAGTTCTAGCAAATACAGCTGACATTTTTACCATAAATTGACAGAGTAGTGTGCATCATTTTTTAAATCAAACTTGAATTGATAGCAATTTATCAAGTCCACATGATACCAAATCAATCAATCAAGTTAAGGAGATAACGTTTCTCTCCAAGTTATGAGATATTTTTTTTCTCTTCTGAATGTGAAGTGAACTCTTCCATTTCCAATTTCAACATAATTTGTCCCTTAAGTGAATGCAGAGGTGGAGATATCGATTTCTGTTTTGAATTATGTAGATGCAAATTTTTCGTTGCGTTTTAGATTCCTCTAACACTAAGAAAGGACCCTGAAGGGACATTGGATGTAGATAGATAAACGACTGAATCCACAGGCTTTCTTGAGAGCGATAGGACATCATCTTACACTGAGTCGGTCTGACAAAATTGTGCCTATTTGTCCTTATTAGAGGATCTAGACAAGGCTAATAGCGGACTCGGGAAATCAAAATAAAACTAGTGATAACAAGGCGCTCTGATTGTTTTTGTTGTAGAATACGATAGAGGATATATTCACACGTTATAGAAACGAAAATGACAGTGTATAAAATTGATTTTAAGATTAAAAAAATAGACGATAAAGAATTAACTTGATGGAGCTCAAACTCAAAACACACAGCAGCAACAAACATAACGTCTTTATTCTCGAAATTTAATGAGTTTAATCTCAACATTTTATCTCGGCTTTTCTCGTAATTTAATGAGTTTATTCTCAACATTTTATTTCGACCTTTTTTTTCTCGAAATTTAACGACTTTAATCTCAAGGTTTTTATCTTTTATTGGTATTAAGGTTTTATTTTTTTATTATTGCTTGGCCCTAATCCGCTTCTGTACTTTTGATAAATTTAATGTTTGAAAAAATTTACTGACCCCAAACTTTTGAGTGGTATTTTTGCTGTACAAGAAAAATGTAAAGTGTGAAATATAGATAATACATTCTGAAATGAAAAGTAAATGTCTACAATTGTTAAACATATTTAATGAATATCTTAGGATGGCATTAATATTTTCAAAATTTTCAAAATATTGTCTTTTGTGTTCCACAGAAGAAAATTAATTTTCATTTTGGATGAACATTTAAGATTATTAAGATTAGTAGTAAATAAACCAACCTTATTTCTGTGCGTCTTTATACACCTGGCTGCGCTGTGCAAACCATCTTCACTTAACTGTTCGAGCACAAAGGCTACACACGTCACATGGTATGGACAGGTGAGCATCCATACCCATTGCACATTCCTTTGAATTGGGTGTTCCAACACCTTCAGCACTAACACACTGACCCAATTCGATGCATCTTCCACAAAACTTTCTGTAATATTCTTTTAATTAATTGTGGAAGCCCAAAGAGTTCAAAAGAACATCTTGTTCATTGACTAAATGTGGGTCTGGGTGAGAAAATGTGACGTCGATCCGTAGTGGGGGTGTGAAACAAGGGTCGATATTAGATTACATACAAGTACATTACCATCCCAGACAGGGAATAAGACCCAGTGTAGGGCTGCACAATTAATCGAATTTCTACTCGCGATTACAATTACGGATGCCACAATTACATAATCGTTCAAAGCAGCAATTAATCGTTCAAAGTCCACTTATGTTTAAGTTCAAGTTCAAGTTCAATTTTATTAGTCACATACACAATCATACAAAGTACGCTATTCTGCATGCTTAAGATGCTTTTTTCTTTCTACATGTTATCTTAAGGGGATTTCCATTGTTTTAATTTTAGTATAACATTATAATACCATGCATATTTTTACCTTTTTATTTAAAGAAGAAACCAATCCAATATATAGTTGACATTTGAGGCTTAATACAATAGAAAAGCAATAAAAGTTTTTCAGTTAGTGTTTTCAGCTTGTTTATTTTCATATAAAAATATGGCATGCAGTTGCTTCAAACAAAGGTGTAAACATCATTCAGTTAATCGTAATTAATAATCGCAATTACAATTTCAAAGGAATAATCGACACTTAAGATTTTTGTCATAATTGAATTGAACTCAATAGCATGTGGCTCTCTTTTGCTCAATACTAGCCTACAACAAAATGGGTTTTCGCTCATTTTAAATTCTATGAGTGTAAATACGTTCAGGCTAAAAATAGACTGTATTTTGTCATTTGAACAGAAAAATAATGTACAAATGCTATAAAAACCCTATTAATTTATTAACTGAACAGTTAACTAAATAACAAACTTAAGATATAAACTTAAGTTATTTTCATATACAATAAAAAAAATATTGAATAAAAACAATACATGTAATTTCACTGTAGAACTGCAAAAATGTTTTCTAGAAGTATAAAATTGTAAGGACAATTATATTAAATTCAAGAAGGCAATTTTACAGTAAAATATTACTGAAATTGTGATTTTAATTATATTTATTTGTCTTTTATTTTATGAGGGAGAAGAATTGACAGAATTCCCTCCATGATCAATCAAATTGATTTAGATTTCATTAAACTAATTTGTTTCTTCTTATTTTTGTTATGTGTATTGAGATGTTCTAAGTATAGTATTTTTTTGTTATTTAGTTAATGTTTACTGCAGTACATCAGTGTCATGTGAGTTACCCTGATGGTGTTTTGTGTGTTGTGTGGGCAACACTTTGCTCTGTCTTCAAGTTATTATTATTAGTCACTGTTGCTGAAGAGGCCAATGTTGCTGAACTTTAAGTCATCGTGTGGCTTTCCATTGTACCATTTGTATCATATCATATCACACGTTAAAACAAACAGATTATACCTCAGATAGGTTATTATAACACATTAAATAATTAAATGACACATATTTAGGAACTGTGAAATCTGGTCACCAAAATGCCATCCTGTAATACTTGTAATATCTTCAGTGTATTTTTTTGGTAAAGTTCTAGCAAATACAGCTGACATTTTTACCATAAATTGACAGAGTAGTGTGCATCATTTTTTAAATCAAACTTGAATTGATAGCAATTTATCAAGTCCACATGATACCAAATCAATCAATCAAGTTAAGGAGATAACGTTTCTCTCCAAGTTATGAGATATTTTTTTTCTCTTCTGAATGTGAAGTGAACTCTTCCATTTCCAATTTCAACATAATTTGTCCCTTAAGTGAATGCAGAGGTGGAGATATCGATTTCTGTTTTGAATTATGTAGATGCAAATTTTTCGTTGCGTTTTAGATTCCTCTAACACTAAGAAAGGACCCTGAAGGGACATTGGATGTAGATAGATAAACGACTGAATCCACAGGCTTTCTTGAGAGCGATAGGACATCATCTTACACTGAGTCGGTCTGACAAAATTGTGCCTATTTGTCCTTATTAGAGGATCTAGACAAGAGAATCAGGCGTATGTTCAACTCCCTGCACGAATAACACTGTGCCCTTGAGCCCCACAAGATAACCCAGTCGATTAAATGCCCTTCGGAATAAGGATGACACGCAAAAGCTTCAAAAAAGGCGAACGGATTGTTCTGATGGCAGCTGAGTGACTTCTAAAGCGCTTTAACGCGCAGTTTATCGGCAGCAACATTGGACACCTTAACAGGTTGTATATTTCGTCTTTGACGGCTACTTACATTTTTCCGCGCCGGCTTTTAGTCTTGGTAAGAGCTCCTCTTGAACGCAACAGTCCAAACGTCACCTACGCCGCTCCATTTAATGACGCAAAAATGTAAGAAATCCCCACACAATTAGAGCAACGCAATCAAAATCGAGTAATGTCGTCAGTGCTGTTCGGTCCCAATTGATCGTCTATACGATCGAGATACTTTCTGTGTAATTGTCCTCGCCGGTGAATTGGCAGTGCCCTGTTGCTGATGCCTCTCGCTCGTCTTTGAATTCGCGTCAGACTGGAGGCTAAACTTCCCCCAAAAAAACTGGCCAATCGCTTCCCTTAAAACATACTTGTCGGTGGTAATGCATCACCTAAACGGTTCGGTTCGCATGATAGGTAAAGGAGTAATTAAGCCGGCAGATCATGAGGCGCGTGCACTGACCAGGAATTGATTCTGTGATGCAATGCGGGTTCCGTCACTGGTTTAGTTATTGCGGGTTGACTCCATTTCTGTCCCTATTGCCCGTCATTAATACCATGTGATGGCGCATTTGTCTTCATCAGTGCATTGCATCTATCTGTCTGTCTGTCTGTCTATTTATCTATCTGTCCTTGGACAATATAGTGCTTAAATGCGTCTGCTCATTCACTACGTTCTATCTATCTATCTATCTATCTATCTATCTAGATGATCTACCATGGGACATGTTCCCCGTCTATGTGTGGTGTTGTAATCATTACTGATGGGGTTCAGAGCTTGTCGTGATCACAACGACTCCAAGGCTCGTAGGCAAGGCTTTTTGCACTATCCTGATTTTTCACAGCTGTGACTTGTGGGCTGCTGCAGGGTGACTGAGCGGAAGATTGTTTTTGCACTGTGAAAGCGAGAGGGTGGTGAGAGCCTCTAATTTCAGTGTGCGCTATGTTCAGAGCAAACGCTCTCTTGTATTTAAACTGCAGTGTTCACATTTGCAGCAAATAAACAGTGAATGCACTATGATCTCCTCATGTTTACAACAATTCACCAAATCCAGAGGCAACAGGCGTTTTGCTAAGATGTGCCTGCTATGTTTCGACCGCTGTCTGTGCATGCATTTGAACATTATAGCCTTATAAGGTGACAGGTGTTGTGCTAAGACTGAAAAATGTGAAATGAAATTACTGCCAAAGCTCGTCTTTAGTGGTGTGTGTGTGTGTGTGTGTGTGTGTGTGTGTGTGTTTAATCTGGCAAAGAGATATGTTGCAGCTGAATAAAACAAATATTTATGATAACTCGCAAAGGGACAGAGACACCAGAAGGCTGGTCATGAAAGTAGGCCATCTGAGCACACTCATTCAGATTCAATTCTGATTCATACACATACCTGCTTTCTTTGAGCCATTGAACACTTAAAAACACAGATCCCTTTAAACATGTTCATATCATTGTTACCAATATAGGTAGACTGATAACATCTTTTGTTGCCATCAATCTATCTTGTTACACACTTGATCATATTACGTTTTTATATTATTCTGTGATATTAGTAAGTACATTCAGTATTGTAGTAATACAGCTTGTGACTTTGGTACCACTTTGATTTTACTTACAAAACGGCACAATTAAACTTAAATTTTAAGTTTTGTGGGTTGAAATTTTCAAATGGCATAGTGTAAATGTACATACTACAGGAAATATAATACTGTACTTTCTTGCCTTTTGCACAATGACATTTTTATGCATATAAATTCAATAAAACAGCAAATATTTAATAGAACAATCAATTATGTATCAATCAAAATATAAAGAGTAAAATATGAAGTGTGAAGAAGTATGGAGGTATAAATTAATGAAGGAATACATACAAAGCATGTCCTACTGCAATCCACTGAAAGCAGAAGACTGATCACGTAATAAAATATTAACCTGAACTAAAATATGTGGGCTCATTTTGTTTGTGCAGCCTACCTCTTTCCAAAAGTCTTATTAAAGGTTTATTTATTTAGAATTGCATCAGTATCCACTACAACCTCAGGGTTACCCTCATTTTTATTTTGGCTTTGGTGTGCAGTGACTCACTGCAGGGCCGTCGGGGCATGTTCAGAGACGAGATAACAAACGTCCCAGCCGGGAAAGGAAGATTCAGAAAGTGTGGGGGCGATGCACTTGATTAATGTAGTGAATGTGGTGGATGAGCGCACATCTCGGCGGGCGTTTTTGTGTTACTTCTTCAAAAAAGATGCTCTCAAATGGAAAGCAACGCAAATGAAGATCTCATGTTGTCACAGGGCATGGATTTAAGTAAGTACGCATGAATGATGGCCTCCTTTTACAGAACTGGTCGTGGAGATACGTCCAGCAAGCAATTTTGCGTTTAAAAGACGTCTATTAGACATCTAAATATAGCCTAGACGTCTAGGCTAAAACGAGGCTAAATTTGGGCTGTCAGTGAAAATCTAATAGACGTCTAATCATAGCCCATTTATAGACTAGTCATCAATTAGACGGCTATTAAACGACTACATATATACGTCTAATAGGCAACAAAATGGCAATCCATACATACAGCTTTTATTAAGAAAAATAACATTTTTAACAACTTGGACAACTTAAGACAATACAAAATGATAAAAATACAAAAGAATTAATGACAAAATAAAATGTTATAAATACAATACACTTAAATATAAATATTATGATAA